TTCGGATCATATATATGGCACTAGCTAGGTGGTACAATATTCTTGCCCAATAGTGATCTTTATATGAATTTTACAGAAAAAACATTCTGTATTCTTCTTCCTCCTTTGAATGCTTGCTATAAGATTAATTTCCTTAATTGTATATGTTTAATATATATTTGTGCTTAATTAGCTAGATAAGTGTTATCCAGAATACTTATTTGGTTTCTTGTGATTGATGCTACCGTACGTAGATTTGGGTGATTTGTTTTGTTTTAGTTGAAATTAATGTTGCATACAAATGTTGACTAGTGTTGATTAATTAAGGGCTAATGAAGGAGGGTGTCCAAATTCAATGCTTATTACTTAGATTTTCTCTTTCTCCCACATGCTGTCCCCCTTGCTTGTCTGAACTAAATATATATTACTAGATTGGTTTAATCATGTGGATTTCGTTCACATTCATTTTTTGTTTTATATTAATTCTTACTATGCTGCACATGATCACCTCTTCTAAGTATAATCACCTTAATTATGTGACATGCCCAGTTTTGATTAGCTATTCCTCTATACATGTAATATATATATATATATATATATCTTCTTACTGCTATTCCTAATATATATTTTGTATTTTGTTATTTTTCCTGAGTCTCTCTTGGAACTGAATTTGGGAGCTCATATCGATATTAGGTACCCAAGTGAAAAATGATTGATTGGAAGTTTTGTTGATGAGTGAATAACATATTAAATTTGTATTATTTTGGCATGTAGTCATCTTCGACTCACTGCGTTCTGAGTTCAAACCCTTTCCCCTCCTCTTAGTATAGCTTTGAGTAAAATTACCGCTTGAAAAATAAACTATTGATTCACATTTATGATCTTGAGTTATATATAGCTTAACTATGTATTGTATTTATGAATACCTATTGTTATTCTTTGATCTATCCTAATGCTAAGTTGCTAAACCACTTGATTCATATAAATTTTTTTTGTTAATCTTTGTAACATTTGTCCCGTCTTCTTGTTGGCTGCATTATATACATATATGTATATATATATCATTTTCCATATAGAAAAGCATTGTTTGTAAGTGTTTGTTTATTTTCTATTACTAACTGTGCAGTACCTGAACTGTATTGTTTTTTACTCGGGTTTTATTCATCCTTCAGATCCATGCGCTTCATATATTTGCAGCTCATGATTTGATTCATAAATGTAAGTTGGAAAAAATCATTATTGTTTATCCTTGCTACACTCTTTCTCTTTGTGCTTGTTCCATGATTTATTTCCAATCATTTTGCTTATGTATTTATTTAATTAATAATATGTATCATGGTGATGATGAATTAAATCATTTCTACTTGTAAGTTGCAGTTTTGTGTGTATACCCTTTCTAGAAGCTGTCCTGCCCATTCTTCTTAATCGATTAAGAAGGTTTTTTTGAGAAACCCTATATTATATCCTTTCTAATATTTTCCATGAGATGAGAACCGGATGAGGATGTTCTCTGGATACTCTTTATGAGGATTTTAGGGATCAATTCATCCTATTTGTTCATCGTATATTGTGCAGCCAGTTTTTGTTAGGTATTGTTTGTGTTCAATTTTAAATAAAAAATTCAAAATAATTTTTGGCCGTAAGATGACTAATGAATGTATAAGATGAACTTATCCCTAGGATCCTACTCCATGAGAACCTAGCTCCTTTCTTTTCCATTTGTTCCCCTTCTTCGGTTGTCTAGCTAGGGTTTTGTTTTTGGCTCTTATTCGTTGGGATTGTCGTGTCCAGGGTTTCGGCTTCATGCATGTATCTTTGCCATTTTTAGCTAAATCATATATATGCACAAGTTTTTCTGTAGTTGTTCCATGAATAATACTTGAATCCACTTCTTAGGTTAATGAGCTCATTCACCCCTTTGATATGGATTAATACCTTTACGACCTAAGTAATTACTTTAAGGATAAATATAGGAAGTGTTATTGGCTACTCCAAAACTCTCATTCTACACTCCTCACGAGTGTATTTTTCTTTCCTAATATAGAAAGTTTGAAGTGTAGAATAAGATTTTTAAAGTACTAATAACAATTCTCTAAGTACATACAATTTCAATTTTGTGAGGCTTTATTAGGAATAGTCCGCTTGTTTGAAATAAGACCAATGACTGTACATCTTTTTGTTAAATTTGTGATAAAACTATTTCACTTTTAGGAGTTACGTGTTGAAAATGAGTCTTACATTGATAAGAGGAGGGATTGCATGAGTTTATAACTAAGTTGGACTACTTTATATATTGTCAATTGGTTTTATGATGGAATCTCAGCTTTCTTCATTACGGACTAACAAGTTATGAATAAAACCTAGATCGCTACCTGATGTATGGTCTATTTTGAAGGTGTATATCTCCTGAACTGAACCATGCATGAGCATGACATGAGTGTGAGCATGCATGTATTCTGTAATTAGGGTTAAGATGGTACATATCGTGCGGGGTTTTGGAAAGAAGAAATTAACTGGCTAGAGCTAGCTAGGGTTGTGGTTAGAATATTGTGCCATAGTGCGCATTTATAATAAATATTATTCTTTAGTTTCTTAACTTGGGCAGACGTGGCATTGAGCGAGTTAATGGAAATATAGCAACCTTTTGTCTATTCTCGGTTGTTAAAAATAAAATAGAAAAATTGTTGAAACCTCTCTTGCGCCCATAGTTTTGCTAGTTGAGCTCCTATACACCCCCCAAGGGCTCCTTTGATGGGATGGATGAGAACAGGTCGTAGAAACAGAATTGGACTGTTATGGATTGGTTAGGCTTTGAATCCCAGTTCATTGGACTGTTATGGACAAATTATGATCATCTTCGCAATGCGCCTTCGACCTATCAACCAACTTTACCATTTTAAAATCATGACCCCCCCACCATATTCTTTGGTACACTAGCAATTTGGCCAAGCCATCCAAAATTTCGTTTGGCCTTTCTCTTTTCCTACTTGTAGAAAGTGGATGATGAATCAGAATGAGCTTGAGTTGCTACTTGCTACTTTAGTTTGATGACTCCCTTCTAACCCAATGTTAGTTTCAGATGCATCCATCTCTTCATCATCATCCATAACCATCTCCGAAAGAGCTAAAGTTGTTTTTCCAGTTGCGCGATCCTGGCCAAAGATATACAAAAACCTTTCAAACCTTGGAAAAGGTCTATCTCTCCATTCATTAGCATATTTATGTACCTACGATAGAAAATATAATAATACATCCAACATTATAACAAGGTCACATATATAATGACAGTAAAAACAATTTATTTGACAGAAAAAAAGGAAGTGAATAATAAATAGGCAGGCCAGTAGTCCCATTAGAAGCACAATTTTCTTGTTTTTTATGAAAAGAAAATGGTATGAGCTTTCCATGCATCATCACTCTCAACCTCGACCCACTTCTTCTCTTCATTCCAACCAAAGCCACTTTAAGACATGACACTTGCGTTTGATCACCATCTAACCTAATCGACAATCTTTTCCCGTACCCTACGATGCATGGACACTAACACGGACACGAGGATACGACACGGGGATACGTCAAAATGAAACTAATCATATCTACTTAAGTCCTTCGTTCAAACATAGAGTTGGAGACCATTACCAATGTGATTCCAAAGCAGGATTATATAATTGTAATTCCGATAGAAATTATGCTCAAAACATAATAGTGATCAAGCAAGAGGTAGAGGAACAATAGTTTAAATTATATAAGAAAAAGAAAAGTATTTCCGATACAGCAGTTGAATTATAATTTATACATTGTTGAATATATTAATTAAATGACGTGCCTAAACATACCAAATTCAAGCATTTATATGTACATATAGAATGTAGTCAGGGAAGTTAAATTACATACAAAAAGTAGAAGAAGGAAAATTAAACCTCAATACTCATTTTCTTTAAGCAATGGTATTGCGATTTTTTTCTGTATTTACTACTAGAACTTGACGCTATATAAAGGCACAACCATCAACTATATATGGAAGCTAAATGGTTCTCCTCCTAGAAAACTAGAGCATTTGCAATCATTTTATCTACTAAGTCCTAACTTAAACATTGGATGGCAGTTGGCTCACACAAGAACCTCTCTTTGAATGAAAGGATATCGTTAATATTATATTTTGAAATTAAAAAGAGAGTGAGTGTGTGTAGTGACTTGAGCACAGTTGCTTCCAATTATAGTAATGCTTTCACTTTCAGGAATGTTTGATTGCCTTGAATTGCTACTGAAAAGAAATGCCAAAATATTTGAATTGGAAAAGCATCAATGCAATGCGCACCATTGGAAGCATCGCACACCTTTATTCATGGATTCCAGGCTTCTTACAACGTTTTAGTACTTAAAATATACATTTGTCTTAAAAGCTATCGGAAAAAGCAAAGAAAAGACGCATGGAAAATAGACGAAAAAGTTGATTGGTACATTGGCACTTGATTAAAATCACCGTCCAATATAATTTATAAAGCAAGGTTTGAGCTCTTAATTTCAATTTATCTTCATTAATTGTTTTTCAATGTTATATTGAACGAAAATTCATTAGAATAGATTCCAATCTTATGGTAGGGAGGAACTTGACAAGATTTAATGAATTTAAGGACTTCTCATATGAAGGAGAAGGCGTTGGATGGCCTTTTCTTCCTATGGAGGAGTAGTTAGATCTTGATTTAGTTTTAAGAGAACATGGTTTGCCATGAGGGTAAAATAAAAAACTCATTGCTTGGGCCAGTTTTATTAGACTGGTTTGATGTTAGATTTGTCTTAACTATTAAATAAAGTTATTCGAATACTTTTGGTTAAGACTGAAAGTTTTGAAACATGTTTTATTAGTTTTCCTAAATATAAATTTGGGGACAATTTTCTAAATCCACCCATTACTCTCTATCTTTCAAAATTGTACTCGATAAAACTACAATGACCAAAACAGAGATGAAGGCAATAACACAGTGGCCAAAGACGCATTTGACCCTCTCTAGTTTTACAGCTATCACCAAAACCTTCATTATTTCATATCAAAGCTTGCATTCTACAAGAAGATAACATCTATCACTATTATCATAAATCATTTTCATTAGGGGGCTCAATAGTACACTAGGACACGCTGACATCACGAAGCTCTACTTGGGCAGCCGCTGCATTAACGGCATCCAGAACATCCATCTTTCCCCTGCTCACTGCTTCATCAACTGGAGTCCTTTCGTAGCTGAAGATAACAACGCCACAACCGTTGTTATAGTAAACTGTGTATAAACTTGCTTTTTCAAATAAGTTCAGGGTTTAGTTCACGTGCTACAATGCTTACCTGTTTAATACACTAAGATTTGCTCCTGCTAAGATCAATTTCTTAACCACCTGCAAAGGCAAAAACGTTAAACAATGAAGTAGCACAAGTGAATATAACTGTGCCCACTGCCTAGCAACTAAAATAATAACCTCAACATGTCCATTCAGGCAAGCCCAGTGTAGAGGTGTATTCATCTCCTCATTTGTAGCATTCAGATCCTTACACAAGCATTACAAACTAATTAGAATTTACCATAACGACATATCACAACTAGAAGATGGACAGCACGCAGTCAATCTTTTCCAAGATATCACAATGGAAATTATATAAACAAACTTAAAGCTTCAAGAAGAAAACAAAAACATTTGTCACTTTAAATGAGGGACAGACTCTACGTAAATGCTTTATATCAGCTAAAGTGATTGCTTCAGTAATAAGATGCAAGCTTATACGTTGAAGCAAACTTGTTAGAATTTCATTGTATTGATCGATTAATGAGTCATCCACCTAAAAATGTAACTATAGTAACCCCAACTGAACACAACACATAGATTAAAGTCCACAACGATATAATGAATATATTAAACCAAACTGCCATGGTAAAAGGACTTATATCCACAAGGAGTTGGATTGAATAGCTCTTCAATACTTCACATCTTCGCTCACTTTTCCTAATTGACCTTAGACATTATTATAGATCATTTTAAATAAGTCACAACCGACCTTGGGGAGTTCAGTTTGGACGATTATGCATCAAACATAGATTTAAAACATTGAATTAGCTTGACTAACTTTCTGCATTAAGAAGCCAATCAATAATATACACATCCGAAAATGTATTCTTAAGATGAATGCACATCCAACAAATGGTCCTTGAGATTGTCCACCATTCATGATTTTGGTCATTCTGTTAAAAACTCTTAGGGCAATTTTCAAAGCTTTGTAACTCAATCGATTCTCAACCAAATTAGACCCATAATTTATCAAAATGAACATATGAAAGTGTAGAACAAGATTATACCTATTTGGAAGCCCAATGATTGCCGAAGATGGCCGGAAAATTACCTGAAAGATGACTGGTTCGCTGGAAATTGAGTAAACTTTAAACGCTCATAATTTTTTCAATAGTCAACGAAATCGAGTGATTCAAAAACAACAATCATACTTCTCAATGAGTGATTTGGCCGTTGAGAAATGTATCATTATCTTCGTCTCATCGAGAAGTATGACTTTCATTTTTGAAGAAGTTATAAACGTTTAAAGTTTACCCAGTTTCCAGCGAGTTTTCCAGTTTTCCAACGAACCAGTCATCTTTCAGGCTATTTTCCGGCCATCTCCGGCAACCATTTGGCTTCCAAATAGGTATAATCTTATTCTACACTTCCCTATCATCATTTTGATATATTATGGGTCGAATTTGGTTAAAAATCGATTGAGTTATGAAACTTTGAAAATTGCCCAAAAGAGTTTTTAATGGAAGGACCAAAATCATGGATGGTGTACAATCTCAGGGACCATTTCTATTGATTTTGAATCTTAGGGACCATTTCTATTGATTATGCAAATCTCAGGGAGCATTTTGGATATTTAGCCTTCTTTCTTTCTTTCTTTTGGAGCTAGCTAGTCATACTCATAGCATAAGATCAAATTGATGATATTATCTCTAAATCAATTACATGCTATCCATGTAAAACACTAAGTAAATAGTTAAAACCATTATCCCTACTTCAATCAATCAAAAGAGTATCAAAGTAAAAAACCTCACCACTCCTCTACTGATTAGATACTCCACAATCTGAAGATGCCCATTAGCAGAAGTCATGTGTAGTGCTGCAGTTAAACCATAACTAATTCAAACACAGTTTTGCATTAGCTTGTAGATGACCTATAGCTTAATTATCACTAACTATAACAATTAAAAATGGAAAAAATAAAATAAAATAAAATAAATGAACATTCACATCAAAGTCTTGAAATTCAACTTAGAAGTATTTGTTTTTGCGAGTATAAATTATATTAGCTTCCCTGTATGAATGTCATAATCTACAAATCCTTGACCAAGAACCAAAAGAAGATAACGGCAGAAAACTAAGCCTAACGAATAATAATTTCTCACTTAAAGCTTTAAAATGGCAACATGACATATTAAAAACCATCAATTTCTGAAGGTTTGTTATGCTTTATTAATTCATATCAAGGAATGAAATTTCATTTTGGTCAGCTGTTTGAACTAGTTTAGAAACCATAAACATCCTAAGAAGCAAGGCAATAATAGAATTTGGAAATTTGGTGAAAGGAAAAGAAAAGGATATTCGTTGCATACTGCATAAACACAAAATCTAGCTCAGCATATGATAAATTTCAAAGTAACTAACACGCCTCCTTAATTGGGAGGACATACACTAATAATCAACCCAATTATAAAAATCTCAGCCCAAGCCAAAAGTAAAGCCACTTATCCAAGAAACAAAGGAATATTCACGGCCACATGTCAAATGTCAGTTAAAGTCATGATAGGGAAGAAAAGAAGAACCAAAGGAGACGAAGTCTGCAAAGAAGAACAAGGAAGAGGGAAGGATGCAACCCATAACTAATGCAACATTGAACCAGAAAGATGACTTAAAATTCTAGCTTTTTGTGTAGTCCTTGGACTTTGGAATCTACTGTTCAGGAGGTGTTACTGATTCACCCACAGTTAAGAAAGAGTAGAGGGATCATCCCCTTTCTTGAAAACAAGACTTTATCTATAAACAAATTATACAATAAAAACAAGACTATCAAATAATCCACCTCTTCAACCCTCATATTCTCAAATATGCTAACGCCTAACTATTTTCTGATGAAATGGAAAACCTAAGATAAATTAGGTTTTGAGATCCCTGTTCTTCCAATACCACTCCTGCATCTCTTCAACTTCTCTACCTTCTTCGCAAGATTTACAGATTGTTATCAATGTTATCAAACCTCTGACTCTGAGGGTACATAAAAGTGACCTTACCCGCTGAATCTCAGATATGTTAACCATAGAAATATTTTTGAGATTTTTCCTAAAGCACTGCTGATGGCAGATCATTGCTCTGTTCGTTACAGTATCAACCTTATGGAGACCAACTAGTACAAGAACTAAGAAAGGAAGAAAGAAAGGGCGACTATCCAGTGCTAGTCCAAGTTCCAACATTATTACATGGGATACAAGTGATTATTCCCAGGAAAGCAAACAAACAAAGGAAGTTAAAAGAAGTAGATGAAACCACAAAGTGGCATCGCATGTTGAATCTGTTAATTCCTTAAACCAACAATAGAAAGTATGAATAACCTGTTCGGCCGTGGAGATCCTTAGAATCAAGAGAAAGACCAGCAGACTCTAAGCTTTTAAGATCATCCATGTCATCGTACCTAGCAGCCTGCCAGTTTTTATCGTAAAAAAAGGATCTATATCTCTAATAAATATCTTAATGCACAATCAGATGCTTTGGAGAAGGGAGTTGGGTACCTCCAGCAAGGCCTGTACCCTCTCCAATGATGCCGTTTCGACTGGAGAATCACCAACTTTATCTCTCCCTTCCCCCATTTGCCACCGCCCTACAAGAACAACACAATCGCTTCCATTAACTTAAAACCCAAAACCCAAAACCCACCGCATAAAGACAATCACTTGCATCAGCTTAAACCCTAAACCCTAAACCCAAATTCAAACCTGAATTCAACTTCTAGAAGAGAAATGAAAGATTAATTTATCGGCAAATAAATGGACAAAAATACCAAAGCTATTGGATTTGCTGAATTACCTTAAAAAAACAAAAGAATGAGCAAAACCAAATAGGATTGCTTACCCAGCAAAAGATAGTTCACTAGCGTCAAAGAGTGGGTGGATGTTTATGTCAAGAGAAATTCGGTCGTAACTCGGCTATAACTGGAGAATTGGTTCGTCAATTATGGTCGAATTTAAGTCCGGTCCTTCAACTTTTCACAATATGGACAATTCGTTATTAACTTTTTTTTATTTTATTTTATTATTATTTTCTTTTTTTATGAACTGGAAATCTCATTATTATGTCCTTTAGACCATCTCCAATGGTAACTTAAAACCTAAAAATATTTAGCCCAGAAAATTTAGGTTTTAGCCCAGAAACAGCTTTTCTAATCCAACCCTTCTGACTTAAAATTTTAGTTCCAGATTATCAAAGAATGAATTAAGGCTATTTTTTTTAAATTAACTTTTTAAAAAAAAAATTTATGTAGACTATCCTAAATTAATTTTATGAACATTTTAATCTAAAAATATTTAAATTCCGATAAATTTTGAAAAATCACTAAATCAATACATGAAAATCAAGATAAACCACGTAAACTTAATACCAACGACATTTAATAAACCACATAAACTTAAAAAATAAAAAAAACAATTAATAAACTACATAAACTTAATACAATCGAAAACTCATAGACTACATAAACTTAATAATGATATTCACCATCTTGACTTGGTGATGGACTTGGTGATAGTCTTGAGATGAATCATCATCTTGAAATATACTCCTTGTGGTATTCCTTCGTAAAATTTCCTTTTGCTTACCATGTAAGTATCTCTTCCTCTCTGGAGTGTATTTGTCGAGGTCCTCCATTATCAAATTAGTTTCGTACCTTTCTTGCTCCCTATCCCTTTTTCCTTCATGGCCAAAAGCATTTGGGCCGATTCTTCTTGCCGACGGCACTGGTTTTCATTCATTATTGCCATTTCGCTAGCAAATTAGGCACGTGTCGGATCTTGGGACTTCCCTTTTCTCTTTGCTTCCTTTTGCTTATCTCTACCCGGGGGCCTTGCAAAAGAAGAAGTTGGGGTCATTTGTTCGACACCTTCATTGTCGGTAAAATTCACACCTTCATTAACATCATTTGGGGGTGGGGCTTCACTATGAAATAATCTTCCACATTGTTGGTTCGCATCGGTTCCCCACCTCGGACAATCCTTGAGGATGTTCCAAGCATGATGCAACTTAAAAGCTTGATTTTTTGGTGTAGTTCTTGTCTTGTAAATTGCCATTGCTTTGTCACCCTATGTAACAAATACATAAAAATAATTAGTTGCAAAATACTATTATGTACATGACAACTAAAATATCAACAAATAAACTCACAATTTCTGAGTCGACCCTTCCACTAGGCATGTCAACCATGGCTCTCTTCAAGCTTCCCTTCCACAAAGTGCACGCTTTGTTGATAATCTTCCACCGATCATAAACACCACCAACTTCCCTTCAACCTGGCGTTGGAGTTTTCATGGAACTTATCAATGATTTTACCCCACAAAACTTTTCTATTTTGATTGGTGCCGACAGCACCATCTTCGCTAATCGAAATCCATGCCAAACATAAAGCAATATCTTCGTCAAAGGTCCAATTACGACCTCTAACATGCTCTTTTGCCATCTTGAAAATTTTGGAAATGAGAAGAAATGGTAGAAAGAAAAATTGGAAGAATTGTAGGGGAAAGTGAGTTTTGTGTGGATGTTTGAACAAATACATAGGTATTTATAGAGTATTTGGTTGAATTTTAAGTTAAATAATTTTTTTAAATTAATTTAGCCGTTGGATTTAAATTTGGACCGTTAGATTTTTTTTTTTTTTTTTACCATTAGATTTGATTATATTCGATCTAAGCCGTTGGATTCAATAAATATATAAATATAAAAAAAAAAAATTTGAACGTGGACCATTGGATTAACCAACGGTCCAATTAAACTGGACGTTGGATGAAGAAAAGTAGTCGTTGGCTACAATGATGTTGACACGCAAGGGGTACAGCCTCACGTGGGTGGGTTTTGGGGTGTAGGCTTCACAGCCCAGATTTCACTTTCATCTGTGGGTCCCACTTGAATTTGTGGGCTAAATTGTGGCTGGTATTTGCCTTCCTTTTGGGTTTTAGGTTTTAGGTTTAGTTTAGGTTTTGGGTTGGAGTGGATTTGGGGGGGGGGGGGGGGAAAGGGAAAATTTAGGTTTTAGGTCACCATTGGAGATGGTCTTAAGATAAACTCTGATGGTTGAGTAGTTTTGTTTTTTTTTTTTTTTTTTTTTTTAACAAACAATATTTTATTTTAAGACTACATATCTAGCCCAAGGCCCAATACCCCCCAAAATTTAGCCACAAACGCATAGACTTGCCCAAAATCACCCCACTCTCGGTCCGTTCACTCGCCCACTCGCCTCACGCAGCCCGTGAGCCTTCAGCGCCCGACAGAGGGGGCTCACTATTAAGGCCACTGTGGGCCACAACCCAGAGCCCAACGGCTCTTTTCTGCATCCAACAGCTAGCATTTTTGGACCGTTGGTTGATCCAACAGTCCAGATTCAAATTTGGTTTTTTTTTTTTTTTAAATGTTATTTTAAAATGCATTGAATCCAACGACTAAGAACGAATATAATCAAATTTAACGGCCCAAATTTAAATCCAACGGCTAAAATAATTAAAAAAAATTATTTAACTTAAATTTCATCCAAAAACTCTATAAATACCTCTGTATTTGTTCAAACATCCACACAAAACTCAATTTTCTCCTACAATTCTTCCAATTTTTCTTTCTACCATTTATTTCCATTTCCAAATCGTTCAACATGGCAAGAGAGCATATTAGAGGTCGTAATTGGACATGTGAGGATGATGTTGCTTTATACTTGACATGAGTTTCTGTTAGCGAAGATGGTGCAGTTGGCACGAATCAAAATAAAAAGGTTTTGTGGGATAAAATCATTGAAAAGTTTCATGAAAACTGCAACGGCGGCAGGAGGGACGGTGGTGGTGTTTACGATCGGTGGAAGACTATCAACAAAGCATGCACTTTATGGAAGGGAAGCTTGGAAAGAGCTGTGGTTGGCATGGCTAGTGGAAGGAGCACCACAGAAATTGTGAGTTTTTTTCTTGATATTTTATTTGTCATGTGCATAATGTTATTTTGAAACCAATTGTTTTTATGTATTTTTTTGCATAGGATGACAAAGCAATGGAAATTTTTCAATATTTATCGGAATTTAAATATTTTTAGATTAAAATGTTCATAAAATTAATTTACGATAGTCTACATAATTTTTTTTTAAAGTTAATTTAAGAAAAAAAAAATTAGCCTAAGTTCATTCTTTAATAATCCTAGGCTAAAATTTTAGGCTAGAAGGGTTGGAATGGAAGAGCTGTTTCTGAGCTAAAAAATTTTGCTTTTAGCCCAAGGGTTGGAGATTATCTAAGGGGTGGGAGAAGTGGGCTAAGCCTCACAATAAGCTAGCAATAATATGATTCAAATTCGTCAATAATCGAACCTAAAATCCTTCACTTACAAATGAAGAGGAAGACTACCAAACCGTAGTACAAAGTGACAACTCTAATGGTTGAGTTAAAACCTACATTTTATTTTTAAAACCCCCAAATCTCTTTCAACAATTAGGCCAAAATTTAAATTTGGATTAAAACTTAAATTTGGGTAGATATAGCTAAAAAATAAGGCAGGTTAGTGGTAGGTCCCCCACGATGGAGGTGAATGCACCCAGAAATTGAAGACTATTACAACCCAGACGAGCTCCACTTTCCTGCACACGGCAAAGCTATAGTGGGTGAAACCCACTGCTGACAGCTTTGTCTGCCACCTCATCCCATCTCAAAGCCTATTTTGTAATCTGACGGCTATAAAGATTGGGTTGTTGGTTAATACAACGTTCAGATTCAATTTTTTATTTTAAAATATAATTCCTAAATACATTAATTTAAAGGTTGTGATCAAATTTAACGGTACAAAAGGATCCAATGGTCCAAATTAAATCCAATGGCTAAAATAATTAAAAAAATTATTAAATCAAAATTCACCAAAAATTGAAGCATACTTAATATTTCTTTCCCACCTGACTATGAAGAGCTTCAAGGGTAGGCTACAACTTCATTTAGTCTGGAGTCGAGCGCCCTGTAGGAAGACTCGCCCTACAATTTTGAATGTTTTGCTACAAAGTAAAAATTGGATCATTCGATCACTTTTCAGTCATCCATTGAATGATAAATCACTATAAGTAAAGGAGATGGACGATTTAAATAACAAAGGATCTAATATTTAACAGTTGTATCTAAAATGACTTGAAAAGTGGAAAAAAGACCGGATAATTTGATCATTATGTGCAAATCCATTTTTTTATGAGAGTCTAACTATTTTTAGGTTAAATGTTCACAAAATAAATTATGATAATCTACATAAATTTTATTTTAAAAAAATTACTAAAAATCAAATTTAGTAAATTTTTAAAATAAGGGTCACTGAATCCTGCCCAGCCTATCTCTTCCATTTTTACCCCATAAGTCTGTGTCATCTTCAACATCGCTAGGAATTAGACTGGCGGTGAAGTTTTAGCTCGCTCCCCCTCATTCCAATCCAAAGTTTGAGGCCTGGTAACCTAGTTAATCACTAGGTCCATTTGGATTGGCCACTACGATTTTGGTTGGGAGATTAGTCTAGCCGAAATCTTCACCGTTCATCTCCCCCTGAATGACATCCATTGTAACATAAATGTGACATCCATTGTAGCATACATGTGCCATGAAGAAGGATGAC